GAAGGCTAACAGGTGACTTGATAATGACTCACAACATTCCAAGCACGCCTGGTCACCAACTCCAACACATATTAAATCTTACCTGCAGCGCTAATCTTAGAGGATATGCACAGAAACTAAGCCTAGAACATAGCAGGTTGGATGTCAGGCACAACTTCTGTTCCCTAAGAGTTGTTAAGCCCTGGAACGCTCTTATTGAGGATGTGATCCAGGCTACTTCGTCCGAATCTTTTAAGCGCCGACTGGATACCCACTTGATGTGTGTCTGGGATCTGCCCAGGACCAAGTGGATTTTCAAATTTTAACCGCCACTTTTTCGCTTTTCTCAACTTGTACAACAGATTAATAACCAAAAGGAGTAGTGATCCACTGACTGTAGACGCGGAAGCCAGTTAAGCGAAAGCTCCTTCTATTCCGCCAACAACCATTTGAACCATTTGCACAAATTAAATTGTACATATAGCTCCAGCGTCTCTAAGAAGATAGGGACTTCTCTTCTCCCAATTTCGTCTCGTGTGGTATATCACTCTCGGGTTTCTGCTCGTGCCTTCCTTTCCTTCTTCTTTTTTCAGCCTAAGTTTTAAGAGAAAATCTTGAGCATAATTTTGACCAAAACTGCCGACCTACTGAATATACTACTTCATACCTAATACCAGAAATTATTGAGGGAGTCCCCCGGCTGGTCTTTCCCTATTGATTTTAAACTTTCTGAAACGTTCCACAACAAACTCAGCTACCGAAATCCTAGATGCAACCATGTCTGAAAACCCGACTGCAATGAATGAGCTAAGGCTTCTGGACGGTCATAATGGCAGCGAAAATCTGGACAAACAACCAAGTCTGAGAAATAAACTCACCTAATGACTTAGAGTGAAACGTGTTCGCAAAACAGACTTCTCCAGTACTCCATCTCATATAACTCCATCTGAAAGAAGACAATCAAAGGCCAACATATCCCCCTTGTTAATGCTGTATGCTTCAATGTGAATTCTATGTGGAAAGCTCCATCACCATTGGATAACAGTCCTTCGAATGTTTATTTCTTCGTACAGGAACAATGAATTCTGACGGATTACATCTGTGTTGTTGAGTAAGGTCACATTACAAGTGGGAAATGCGAGGCCTTACATACTCACTGGGATTTTATGGTTATGCCAACACTTACTGTTGCCTGAAGTCGAGGAAGTGAGTTTTGGTCGGCCAGAGATATTATAAACATGTGAAGTGATGTCAAAATATATGTTTATCTGACGGAACACGGAACTATACCGTTAGGTTAACCATCTGGATCACGTGTAATGCAAACATGCTGTTCAGTGGATTTGCCGCAACAGACTGTGTGGTCATGGGCCATCGAATTGGATGTTGAAATCGCAGTGAGCAACTGTTCCTCAGGCCCTGTTGTGCATCGAGGAGGCCTGCATGCCACTCCCATTAGGTGCCTTATTTGGTGTATGGTGTACGTTGGGGTTTAGTGATTGACTGAACATACAAGTAGTCGTCCCTCTGAAACTTAGACAGGTGCTGATGCGTGTAGCCACCCCCACATTTTGAACCACCCACCCTCTCGGGACAAGGTCGAATTTGGTACAGACATTTCTTAAACCAAGACTTTTTGTGAGAGCAAGTCTCGGTTTCGGAAGCTGTGTATGCATGAGGACGGCGGCATATTGTCATCAGCTTCAGTAGTCTACTTCTAGGACCAAGCACGTGGCTGCATTTACAATCCAGGAGGCCATGTTCTGGGCCCAGAACAGTAAAAGGACTGTTGTGGGAGTTATTGGCTGCTGCATCGGATGCTGATGTCCGGTTCCTACTGGACTAGCAGGCCTCCGTCCTTCGATTTTTCCCGACATCCTGGCGTCGGTGAGGCGGAAGTCTTCGTCTACGCGTCCATGTGCATCGGTCCACCAGTTAGTTCCCTTACGACTAACACTTTCTGTAGTGTTTTCGGAGATTGCCTTCTGTCCTTCGGCCTAGATGATCGAGGTTTACTTTAGCAGCATTGTTTGTCGAATCTTATTTGATATTTTACTTGATACGTGTAAAGGTTCCTGTGAGTGATGCCTTGCAGTCAAAGCGCATAGCCAGCAGAGTACGGGGAATGATATCAAGAGGATGGCGAGGTTTGGCAGTCTACTGTGTATCTCCTAGGGTACTGTGCAGAAGAAAGAGTGGGCTTCCTTTCCGCCTCTCCGCTGACCCATGGTTTATCTGGCCTCTGCCTCACGACATAGACGCCTGCGGTGTCCAATCGGCACGAGAGCAGAATCATGCCCATTGACTAGTTCACTGTCATTGGCGACAGTCTGAGGGGTGGTGTCACAAGCTCACTGTAGTGGGTTGTATTCCCAGCTCTTTGCAGTGGCCATCTCAGCTTTCCTCTTGAGACGGCTCCTCGCTTTTCAAGGGTGAGTCTGTTGGCTGTGAGGACAATGAACAAGATGATAGGGTCCATTCTGTTGTCTTGCGGGTGCAGATTATTCAATTTGGTAGCCAGTGGTTCACTGCCGTACATTCGTCCTCGAGACGACTTATTTCTTCGGATTGCCCAATTTCGCTGGGTAGTGTGGGTTGCGCGAAGCAAAGCGTCGACTTTGTTGGTGTCTCACAATGGGTAAGAGCTGGTAATCTTCCATGCTAGGGGTGACAACATTGAGCGGTCATGGTCTTGGTGTACATGAAGCATTCCTTGTTTTTATGAGTAGATCTTGGGAGCATGTGTCTTATGATATCTTGGGTTGTACCGGGATTTCTTAGTTTGTCGGTGGTAATAACAGGTGGTTTCCAACATTCTAGACCCACACGCGACCCACTTACACGGCTGCCTAATTATGAAACCCCAGTACTGGCCTGGTATACCCTTATCGCACCGCCGTCATATTAGGCAAGTGCTGCACGGAAAGGTCTCTTGAGCCTCTGTCACCGGTGCATTACAAACACAACAGCCGTCAGACGTTTGCTGTTTGCTGGAGACTGTTTGGCCTGCTTTTTGTAAGTCGGAGCCACCTATAGCTTGTGTCGATTTGCCCGCTTATCTGCACCCTCACTTTAACGCGTTTTATTTTTAACCAGTGTGATACCCGGAGACCTATTACTATCAGGATAATTATATGGGTTTGCCGGCATCGGTAACTGCTGTGTCTGGCCTGACAGTGATGCAGAAGTCGTCGTGCCTATCTCCCCTGCACAGACTTTTCTATCAATACGCCGACCACATTGTACTTATTATGGCTCATGATCTGGTCTCCCGTACAATTATGTTTGGGCTGCACATCATATGTAAATTACATAAAGCACAGAACAAAGAAAGGGTATCACTGCAATCAGTATCCAATTATTTTGGTCTGAACCCATGAAACGATTCGAATGAAATTAGTTAACGCGATACGGACAAGTTACTGCATTCTACTGTACAGTATCCCAAACTTCCATGGGTCAAGCAGAGTCATAGGCTATATTTCAACAATATCAAAACACGATATGATACTAGAAAGTCCATGGTATAATTTAACAACAACAAGTTATATCAAAATTACACAAGTGCCTAAACAATGGCACTGGTCAACCAAACATTCCAGAGATTTTTCTCGTGCTGATTACGAACTATGCGGCGAAAAGTTATCAACTAAATACAAATGTCAAATATCTAATAATCAGTGAGAATATTCTCAACAAAATGGGATCAGAATTGTTTCTGCATGAATCAAATCAAGCAGTAAATGTTTCTAGTAGACAGTCAAAGAACAAGCAGTCACTTCACAGGGCAAACTTGATTTGAGTCAGGACAAAATGTCGGGAACGGTGAGACAACGACTTACTGTCAATAGTCTAGAAACACAAGATAATGATGTGAGGCACTAATGATAAGTTCCAATTAAATCAAAGGTGTTAAGATTCCACTTTAGTAAACTTGTATAGGGCCACCGATAGAATACTCCTCGTTCTTAACGGACGCGTTAACGTCAGGCTAAGAGTGGAAGGCGACCAAATGTTTTTTAACCTTTGACTGTTAGGATACCGGTGTATGGAGGACTGCAAGTCCAGGCGCATGACTCAAAAGTTAGAACCACTTCTGATGTGGTGACTCAGAATCAACCCCCACGTTTTTCCTCAACGTGCTGTGCAACCAGCCATGGGATTCTGTTTGAATGAGACAGTTCGCATGATACGCACAGTCAGGCCTTCAGCGTCATGCTGAAGCCTTTCGATCCCTCCCTCCGTACAAATTTCTTCACCGGAAATTTATGTCAGACCTGTAACAGACTTCCGAAGGAAGTCAAGGCCTCCCACCTTAATTGTGTCCCCTTTATGGGCACGGTCATCAAAGCTCAGAGCTCGGGCATGGGAACCCCTATTTGTCGCCATGACAAACACATGTACGGTAGGATGTTGCATTGCGTGTTCTTCTATTTAAGTGTCCCACTCCGGAACAACCTAGATCACGTAGAGGCTGTCGAAGACGACTTTTATTCCAGCGTATGGAGCAGGCAGGCAAACACGAAATGCATATTCCAACCCCCCAGGGACCAAATAAGGTGGACGACCTCACAAGAGAGGTGGAGGTCGACCCCTTCGAGTATACTGTTCATAATTCAAAGCGGGAGGTTTGAGTGGACGATTAGGTCTAGCACTAAATGCGCCATCACCAACCCCCCTGGGTTCAACGGAGAAATCACAACAACTTAGGATTGGGGCAGGGATTATCTCGGTCAGATGGACCAGTTTTAGTTTCTAAATGATTAGCCTAGTTACTTCCTTGACTTAATTCACGCGGATGAATATCAAGTGAAGAGAATCGATCGCAAAATGACCTGTGGGCTGTACGCTGAAAGCCTGTGAAGACTTTTGCTACCACTGAAAGAGTAAGGCCGGAAAAAGATCCGATCCTTTGGGGACTAGAGGCGAGAGCTCGGAAACTGTATTTTTCTTGTACTCGCACCATTGATGTGGGATATTGAATAATGGAAATGGTGTGGATTCGTGCCAATGATAAGGCGGTGGATTCGACTCGTGTGTTACTGTAGGCAGGTGTAACGCATTTGAAACCTTACTCATTCAGTTGTGGTTGAGGGTTTCTAGACTCCCTCACCTCTTCGTTGTCAAGCTCCTCTGTTTTCCAGTTATCTTTGATTATTGGATGTAAGTAAGTCCCACGCATTCGGTGATTTGTCGGCCCACGTCTTCCTCCCCCTGTTTTCCCTTCCAGTTTCTCATGGTCACCCTTGAACTCAACCCCCTTCCTGCAACAACGTTCCTAACTGTAGGCTGGACGAGAATCTATCAATAGTTGATCGTCACTATAGCCTAAAGTAGTTGTTGCATAGCCATTTCTCCCAGTTCTGCCATTTTCAGTAGGCGCTTCAAACCGATTGGATTTTAATCGCGTGTAAGTTGTTAGCAGTCTTGCTCGGCGTGTAATTTGCTTTCCACGTTAATAAAAGGTGTGTGGGCTGATGATTGACACTTGTGTTTCGAGCTTCAACACGAATCTTAAAAGACTTCCATCTCATAAGCGTTCATTTGAACCCGTGGCACTTCCAGCCGTTCTCGAATGATGAGCACTTTTACCTTTGACTCAGTCCCAGTAAAAGTTTTCGTTCAAGCAAGTAGGTCCGGCGTTGGGTCATGAATCTGGTGTAGGACCAGGTGCAGTGTACATGGGTTTAAGCGCTGGACCACTACTTTATTTGAGCTAAACGTTGGGGTAATGGGGCTGGCTGTAGGGCCATCGTAGAAAGTGTTGGGCCACACACTGGGCCAATTGGAAAACCGAGGGCCAGACGTGGGGCTAAAGGTGCTCAACAGGAGTACAAATTCAACAGCTATTAACGTCGTCCGGACAACCCTGTGTCCGGCCGTACACTGTCTGTTCTGAGTGTGGAAACATTGTGCTGACATTGACTTTGCAGAAATGTTGATTGTTCTTGGGGATGATCGTAGTATAAGTGCATATGGTATCTTTGTAAATTCATCCTACACATCGTTTGAACTAAAAGAGATGCAGTTGCATGCGAATTTGTGCAGGAATGTCGTTTTAGGTCGTTGCAGAAGTTTCGTTTCGCAAAAACCTCATAGTCTGTACCTTCTTTTGCGGGGATTGATGTTGTTACTACAATTGTAATTTGTTTTGTCCACTAAATGGAAAATCAGCCAAGTTTGTTTTGCGAAATTTTTAACTGCTGTAAACGTCTTAGATCAAAGCTGTTGAACATAACTTTTCATTACTAACGAAATATCCTTCAAGTTGAAACCACTACTAAACCGTTTTTTACTAACATTACGCACATGCCACTATAACTTTCAGGTTATGTAACATTAAACAACTTCCTGATTCAAGATTTTGCAAAAACTGTACTTCTACAATGTGGACAGTCCTCAGTGCATGCAATGACAAAATTGGCCACTACTATTAACATATCTGGTCATTATCTTTTACTTTTTCAGTGACAACAATTATATAATCTTTGGTTGTGAATGTTTCGCAAATCAGGTGACATAAATGGCATGGGAGAAATAAATTTATCTTAAGATAGTAAAAGCTGTATGCTGCTAGAAATTTGTAGAATACTGATGCTGTTCACTTACTGACTTCAAGACTGCAAGCACCTATCAGCTAGCCTGTTTTAGCCACCTCGACTGAAAACCAGTTCAATAAGCGGACAACTACGTCACTCATTCTGATGGCAACTATCCACTTTTCTGAACAACTAAAAAAATGTTATGACGTAGTTACTAGATGGATCTCAACTAAGTTGGTTGAGCACCAAACTCAACCCATATTTCTAGTCTTGTTGGAATTCAGGCTTTCTTTCGACTGCAGTCATCATTAAGATTAGTTTATTGAGCCAAGGTCTAAGTAACAGTCAATCTGACATACATGCGAACAGTGTAGCTTCGCACATGATTTTTTCTGAGGAGTCCAAATTTTTTACGCATTTCGCAAGCAATGCGACAGATATCAAAATTTGGTGTTTACAAATCAGCTATCTCAATGGTTAATTTATTCGTAAGAGTAGTGAAGAGTTGAATAGTTTTAGTCCTATTCTTGAATATCATCAGTAGACTTGTTTAGTGGTCAACTTCTACCACATTGCTTTCCATTAACTTTCAGCACCATACAGCATTGTCGTCAATTCAGAACATGGTTTCTGAACGAGATTCGCGCTACTGTCGTCTTTGGAAATGCCAAGTATCAGTTGGTGAATTGTATCGGTGGATTTTAGCGAAGCTTTCTGACAAGGATATTAAACGAGCTTTACACAAATACCGAGATTTGATGCCTAGACAATCAGATTGGAACAGAAAGCTTACTCAAGCAACTAGCATGCCGGAGCTGGGATTTCGATATCTTTATCGATGCGGTCAGATAGATGAGAGTAATCACCGAACTATGCAGAAAATGTTGAAGTACATTGATCGACAAGACGTACTACCGTATTTTGATACGATTTTGTACAACACCAATCATGCCAATTGTTCTTTAGAAGAGCTGCAAAAAGGTAGTGTAACATTTCCCCCACTGAATTTCAATTTCAGTCTTTTTGGATAGAGTCAATGTCTTTTTAGAACATTCTTCTGTACTTCATGAAGAAGAAGTTCATCCTGAACCTGAATATGAGATAATACGACGTCAACCAGTCGAAGGTTCACGAGTCACCAGGTATGCAGATTTTAACAGATTATTGTATCAATTCACGTAGCTCAGTAATATTTACATTCACTGTAATACCGTACTGGCAAACCACTTATTTGTCAGCATAAAGCAAAAGTCGTTTAGAAGTTAAAATCACGTTTTTAATGTATATAGCGCTGCCGAAACTAGTTAAAAATGAGCATAGCTAACAAATTTTATGATCGTTGTGTCTTCGTTCCTTATGAACTGGTCTTTGACTGAAAGTATATATGGAGCTGCGTTCTTGTGCTGACCGATGGTTGCTACCTTAACGTGGTGGTCGGGCTTGCATATCACAATGACCTAACGAACTATGCTAGGTTCTATCTTACCAGAAAGATATGTTGGATAGTGGTTAGACAAAAACAATCACCGTTATAGTGTAAATTGCTACGCTGTGATGGAAGTCTGAGGGTGAAGTCGTACTACTGACTGGACAGGATTGAAATATTGGTGAGGTGTTCCCCTTGAATGATCAGCAATGCCACGTTGTTGTTGCCTTCCCTACAGGAACAGGAGGGGGTTTCTGAAAAGTCGGTTCCCAAAATGCCACATCATCCTGCGTCATGCAGATGCCTGTGACAGAGATTCATAGTCGCCTTCGAAAGCGAAAATCCAGAAGGTCATGTATGACCAGCCCCAGGTGGATGTCCCTTGGGCTCTATGGTCACTCTTTAACTTACACTTATTCACTTGACATCACCCGGCCAAGTTGGTGAATCCGCAGAATTCTCCATTCGAGTTTCCATGGATTCAATCTCTAGTTGTCGTGGTCTTGCAGGTGTAAGTATAGCATTGTGCGCTAGGACAAAAAATTCTCTCCTCGACTGAATCGCCTCTTGTGTTTCACCACCGTTGCCTTCGTAGCATAGGCTATGTCGTGGTATCACTACGTGACCAATGTAGAAACTAGGTATACAAATTTAGGGAGAAGAGAAAAGTCAGCTATGAGGTTATGAACTATCATCGACTGAGATCGCTAACCGGGACGTGTGTTACACATGACTAGTCACTGTCTGCCCCGTCACATAATGTTAGCTGAAGTAGATTCAGACTGGAAAAAGGATACAGGCTGCCAGACTAAAACATGACAACATCCCATGAAGTCTTTGACTGTTAAGTCATGCAGGGAAATGTAGACCTCTCCAGTCGCGGCCTTGTGACATCGGACACCAGTAGTCAGAGACTTAGTGGTATGGCTTCAAACCGATCTCATGGCACCGTAGATCGGAGCTATGCAGGGAAATGCAACAGAAAAACACCACATAAAACCTGACACAAACTGCATCGCTTCAAGTTGCTACACTTTACAGCAGCATAAAGATAGACAGAGACAGAATCAGTGTAGGACCTAGGACATAAGTGCATCGATTCAAGTTGCCAAAGTTCACGGTAGTATGCAAAGAAAATTTGGTTAGGCAAGGAGTGACATCAAACTAGACAAAGTTGTATGGGAGGAGATGAAATTTGAAAATAAAGGTTATTGCAAATATTCATGCTTTAGGAGATGTCAAAAAGTGAATACATCTTAACCAGTGTGACCGATTTTCAGCCATGTCTCGAAGACCCCTTAACCACTGATTCCTATTACCTCGAATACCCCAAGCAAGCAGTCTACACCTCACACGGCTCACACCAATGGTCAGAGATGTCAGTAGACTGGTACCATGCATTGATCTGACCACCTTGAACCTTATTCCAACCTACTCCAACTCGTGCTAACATTGGACGTCTAGATAGGCGGTGACCTGGGATGCAGAACGCATATCGAAGTCACCTCAGTTGCTGAAGGCTTGCGATCACATCGACTGAGTTGTCTTTCTTGTCTGTTACCCTTCTCCTGACCTCGATAATGCTAACACCGTGGTTCTCAGATGCCTGAGTAATGCTATGAAGAAACGTATGGTCAAAAATCTGTAATGTCTTCATGTCTTTTACTTTCAACGACCGTGTCTCACAGGCGTGTCTCACAGGACAGAACGGACTGCATCGCAGTAAACTCATTCCTGAGTAGATAGACGTATTTCTCTCCAGTCGGTGCCAGAAATGACGTGAGTTGGTAAGTGCTAAATGGGCCTACTGTATCCGAGCTGAGATTCCATGAGCAACCAACTGTTTTGGGAACTCTCCAAGTAGGTGAAGTGGTCGACACATTCAACCACTTCACTCCTTATCCTCCAACTAGGAGTCGTTGTAGAGCAGTCTCGAAGCGTCATTTTACATTTGACAGGTGCGAGACGCTTGTCAAGCATACTCAGATTTCTGTTTAAGGCATACAGGAGAACCTGCATTTTGTCAACATCTTCACCTAATAGAAGAATATCATTGACATACTCCACTCTCTGTAAGGTCAGACATACCTAGTGTTACATCCATTAGCACCTCTATAACGAAGTTAATTCAGAACGGTTGGGGAAAGTCTAAGAAGCCTAATATTAGTGTCAGTAGGTGAAGTAAGAGGAGGAGATGGAATTGAAGAAGATAGATTATGTTTGATTGAGTCTTGTATACTACTGGAAGCGTGTAAATGGTTGACACTTCCCGGTTACCCACACCGCAGAAGGCCATTTCTTCTTAATGTCTGTCACATATATTGATTCTCTCTGTGTGTTTTGTCTCAATCGTAATATTCGAATCGTTTATTTTCTCGACACACTGCTTTTTCTGTTTACAGCACTTTGCAGTCTTCGACCACATTCTCTGCATGTTTGCATTTCCTCTTGTAGCGTTTGGTCTTGACGTGCAGTTCCAAGTTATGTTAACTTGAAGGAATTAATGGTAATATCAAATCCACCTTTCTTGACCGGATCGATTGTATTTCATCTTTAGGGGTGATAAGTTACAGACGTTCGTTCCAAACGATTTTCCTTTCTTTTCTTTTAAGGGACAGTCACTGAGATATCTGGTTTGCTGGTGTGAAGTTTATCAATGGGAACTCATATTCATAGGGAGACTAGTCTTGAATATCCATCTGTCTGTGCTTAGAATCACAAGTAACTACAACACTGTACCTAACCTGTTGCAAATCAGTCTCCATGTTCTAAGCAATCTGATAGAAAGTTAATAAGCATGCACCACTATTGATCTGAGCCGTTTATTTATCTTAATGATTGACAGAAGGAATATGAAAATTTGGAATGTAGACGTGAATGCTTATTTGGGCAATGTGCGCTGAAACCCACGCGTAGACTACTTGTGAGAATGTCGTGCATGTTTTGTTTCCATATAGTTTATATGCTGAAATTTTTTCATTCTTATTTTATGAACCTTCTGAGAGTATTGAGTGCTTTAGTCTGTAATCATTTTTTTAGGAATCACGTGAGATTGAACTATTTAGGGTATTTGGAGAATGCACCCTAAATTCTGCAGTAAATTGTGAGAGCATGCAAGAGACTCCAGCCGATGTATGTGTAGATGACTAGTGCAACTTACAGCATGAGAAAATAATTCATGTGCACATTTCGGCAATACCTTTGGCGTACATGCCAAGAAATAGTCAACAGTTGTGATGCTACTGATATATGGTCAGTCAACCAGTATCAACATGGGATTTGGCAATACTGCATAAGGGTTCAAGTTGCATCAGCACACCGTGGTAAGAGACACCATGATAAAAGCCGAAAAAATGAGAAAGCAACAATTAAAAGTAGTAAAAAGGGATAAGTGGGGACACAGCACCGAAATTCAATATGTTGGTTAGGATGTTGATGGTCGGATGCCTCTACACCGTTAAGATCGATTCTGAGCGTTGCGAATAAAAGTCTCAAACGACCTATCTCGTTCGTCACTTGGAGTCGAATCTAGGAGTCTACATTTCCTTATGCAGCTTAGACGAACAGTGAAGAACTTCATGAACTGATGTTACGTTTTTGTCTAGTCTCCTTAAACCTTTCCATAACCTAAATCCACTTCAGCTAACATCACATAATGAGGTAGGCGGTGACTAAACATGTGTAATATGTCCCAACAGCCTAAGCCAATAAAGACTTACACCCTCATCAACTAGCTAACGTCATCTGGTTTAAAACCTACACTTGCCTTCCACTTTGATGACGTAATGGGTTCCATGACACAGTCTGTGCAACATAGGCAGTGGTTGGCGGTCAAACATATGAGGCTTTCTCATATCCTTCACCTTCAAGTACCACGTTTTGCGGCCATCTATTGGAATAAAGTGAAAGGACAGATAAGTGTGAATTCATAAAACCTAGAATTTTCGAAGAAAAAGGATGTGTGCATCTTCATTGTCGTAATAGACTTCGTGTCAGGAGTAATCACGAGTGTCCGTTCATTAATTTCTAGCATATTGATGACCCCAACTAGGAAACTTACAACCCTCTGACTGGCTCAGAACAACATTGAAAAATTTCATGGATTATTACCAAATCATATTTTGACCACCCGCAGTAGTCACTTTTTGTACTTGTATAGTATAATAAGGCTTACTGTTGTATAATATGCGCAACTACCAATAAGCATTCAATCTGGAGGTTTATGGGGATTTCTTGATTTCAAGTTGATATTCATCAGGAGCAGATACCAGTTGGAGACCTAGAAGCACTGAATATCTTTTTTACCCTAGTATGGGACTCAGCACTCCACACCTATGATTCCGCCAGGGATCGAGCGCAGGACCTTCAGGTTATGTGGTCAATGCGTTACCATTGTGCCACTGGGTGGGAATCTAACGGTCCACATTTCTCTACCTATGTCATTAGTGACTTACTTCGAAACGACATTTCCCAAAGTTCTAATAAGAAGTCATGACCGGTAGGACAAGCCAAATCGGCCGTGAGGACAGGTACTCAATGACGGCCTTTGTTTTTTTTGTTCTCTGAGCTGGGTTCTTAAATCGGGAAGCTTTCGTCGTCTTTCTAGACAACATCATCAGCACTAACTTCAGTGTGGTGCCATTTAATGAAGGTCACCTTAAGTCACGGATTAGTATAAGTGAGAAGATGTGGAACATTGGATTCCCATTCAGTTGCTCACTGGTAACGTGATGGCTGGAGGTCCCAGGTTCAATCTCTGACAAGATCATGGGTACGCACTGCTAGAAAGTCCCATGCTAGGACGAAATAACTATGCAGTGCTCCCAGGTTATCAATGTTTCTCCAATTGATGTTAGTCTGTGATGAATACCAACTTGATATTAATAGTCACTCAAACATCTCACCTGTGCTGCATTAAATATATCTTTCTGATGACATAAAAAAGTATTTTGCGGCTGACATTTCGAACACAGTTTACTACTCATGTTCATATTCTGGTAATCATACAACTTCTAGCAGCTAAGGGAGAAATTAGTTACCAAGTCTTTTTTCACTGAATATATATGATACTAAAGATGTAGCACTCATTGAAAATACATAGTAAATCCTATCATCATTGAGAGCAACGGATTAAAAGTGAACTATAAAACCCAGGTAACAGCATCTGTATTATTATAAGTAATAAATTTTGCTCGAGACTTCATAATGTAACCAATATCTAACCGGATAAGGAGGGGAATAGTTATTTCTAGTGGCTACTCAATATTCACGTTTGTCTTTTCCCCATACTGCATATGGTGTGAAGCTTCTGTAAGGAGAGTAACACTACCATGTCTCGCAAATATACTGGCTTGTTTCTGTTTGTAGGCAGCATTAGCATACTTAAAATTTATTTCAACTTAGGCCAACCTTCTACTTAAGGTCTAACTGCCTCCATTAGGATGGAGAAATACACTTGTTCGAACCAATTCGTGGTCATCATCACGTAGCAGGTAGTAAAAGGGTTGACAACCACTCGACCAAATCTCGCCAGGGGCAACTAATGGGTATATTTGCACATCGTTAAGGTTGATCTGATGTCTGAAATCTTTCTGGTTGAGAATACATGATGATGTGAGCAAACTTGTGAAAAGCACTCAGCAATAACCATTCACTCGGTTAACATTGCGAAAGTAACAACTAAATGCCTTTATACTTTGCCTAGCATATCTACATGAACATTGAAGTTACTCTCTACAACGACTACATCTGAATATTTTTCTGTTGGTAAGAGGTTAGACATTTTTCAATCAAACTCACATTTCACTTCATTGGCACAGCATTCAGTTAATCCACAAACAAAACTAACAAAAGAATATTATCTCGTATCGCAACCATCCTTAGTTTCTTCTGTACCTTCTGACCAAATAGCTCATAATTGGACTGTCTTTTGTGACTAGTTGGGCAGTAACCTTAGATTTAATTCTATTTCTATAAATGGAGTATCACATGAACTGTCTATTGAAAACCCGTCCACTCGAATCGCGTAGAGGTGATACATTTCCGAGATAAAGTGAAGTAAGTTACCTCACCTGGGTACTTTATTCGTTTCTCAGTGTAAACCATGATCTGAATTGCCAGAATTCTGGCCAGTGAGGGTTGTTATCCAACTAGATGAAGGACGTGGACACTGAAACCTCTAGTCTGAAGTTTGGAACTTGGTTTCAAGGGACATGAAATTTTGTTCCACTAACTTGAATTGTTAATACGGGCTGAATAAATGGGAAAAGTTGAAGATAGTGTATATTTATTGAAAGGTTAGTAGTTATCAAGAGGTATTTGACTGCTACTGGTGGTGTACCTGATTTTGTCTTCTAGGCTTCCCACATCGTGGAAGTGTACTTCTTCATGATGCACTTGGAAAGGGAATGGGATCAGTAAGAATGGTCTTATAATTGTGTTACTGTGACCATTGAACCCTGGAGACATCTGACGGTCTCTGGATAAAGGAGAGCATTGACATTTTTGGTTTGATCTTTCCTAACCACTGCACCCGACAAAGTCAAGGAAGTATCGCTTGAAACACATTTCTACAGTTAAACAACTGTACAAATGGCAGCAAGTCTCCACCCTCATAGCTGAAGTTATTCTCGATTATTTCGATCAAGACTTTTGTACTGCAATTTGTTGGTTTTTGATAATGTTACTAGAATTGATGCATTGTCTGAAACAAACACAGCATAGAACTGGTCTGTTTGTACATAAATGGGAGACTTTATTTTGATTTTAGGCATCTCTGAACATTATGCCTAGAACTAACCACTGTACTGATCGAAATGATCTATGTGCTTAGAAGAAAATCGTAGTTTACATTAGTCATATTGCAGCTTACGGTGAGGTCTTCTCATAGGTTCCTACAATAAATGGTTTTTACCAGTCGTGTCTACCTCCTGCATTTTTTAACATCTGAAGTAGACATACTGATGGAGTTCGTTGTCTTACTTGATTTTAAAAAGACTCCTAAACTCAGACGTTGTAGTTTTGATAGATAAAGATACTGATCGAATCTAGGATCTTGTGAACAGTTTGAGTACCAATCTGGGAATTTTTGACATGGTTCCCAAGTATAAGATTGTAGCTGTTCCTAAAAGACTGGTTCTCCTGGGAACAAAGTTTGACAGTAGAAAGTAACGTGACTTCAACAGGTTGATGGCAGATTTAATCCGTGTATTGCATGGAAATGAGTGTGTCTTTCTGTAAAGTAGTCAACAAAGGGGGATTATTGACGAGAGTTCTCGATATTATAATGCTATTATCTTGGTAACATCTATAGAGAATGGTTGAATGATTGACCAAGGATTACGGAAGTTAAGCGTAGAGTAGTTGGCAAATTAGATGGATCATTGAATGAATTGTGTGTTTGTTAACTGATTTTGGCCATCTGCTAAACATTCCCACCTATCATATCGGGCAGTTTTAGCTGGAATAGATTGAGAATGAGTAAAGCAAGACTTTCTTCTGGTTATTGGTTTATACCGCACTAGGAAGTATCGCTTTCCTTGTCGGGGTACGTGAGATAATCAAAATTGACGATTTGATACTCTAGGTGATATAGCTCTTAATCGATCATATTGTTGAGAATGTTTCCACTTTTTTATCTACTATATAATATTTCAAAATCTATTTATGTGCTTTTTTTGTTGACATTTGTATTCAAAAGAAAACGCATTGTATGACATGGACGGTAGATTTTGGTTAGTATCAGTAAAATATTTAGGTTGTATGCATACTTTGTTAATTTCTATCCTAATTCTTATTTCAAGTCATATTCATGATTTCTACTGAACAAATATTATTTTATAGATTAAGTCTGAAAAGGAAGTCTTCTGCTGCTGATATTCCCGTTTCTGTCTCATCAGTGAAACGTGGACGTCGGTCTGTCACCTCATCATCATCTTCATCAAAAACTGAACAGTCAAGTGATTTTGAAAATCCATTTCTTCGATATTGTGGTAGGGTGAGATCAGCAATTATAGCGAATTCACTGAACGGTCCAGTTGTTCATACTATGCTTTCTGCATCACTTATTAGTACACTGGTATCTTTACACACCACTTTATCTCAAGCATTCGATAGCTCCAATCTATCTACATCAATGCCAAATGTGTCGAATAGCAGTACTACTGGAACTACTGTTAATAATTTAAATTCATCCTCTCCAAACAGTCCTTTGATCTTTCATCTATTAGCTATTATACCTCATTTAATTGCTGCTTCACGTGCAAATCAGTTATCGAATCCAAGTATTCTATCTAATCCTGCACCACCTCAAGTGCCTGGTTATTCAAGTAATAATAATAATAATAACAATCCAGTAATTTTCGGTCCAAGATTGGTTGGTGTTCGTTACAGACCGAGAGTCAATGCTGAAAGACGACCGCCTCAACAGGTTCAAGAGCATGCAGATCCTGTTCTTCCACCTCTTGTTGATAATAATTTAAACCGTGAACCTAATATGCAAGATCCTGCTCATCCTCTCCCTGGTATTCGTGTTCCTTTTATCAATCCTCCTAATCTGGATGGAGATCGTCCAAATGGACTTTTATTTGCCCCACAACTTAATGTACGACTTCCAGACAATGGGTCACCTGCTGTAGTCTCTCAACAATCGACAAATATTCCTGTCTTATTAAAACATGTTGTTTTATCGGCCGGTGGGATTGGCATTACTACTTCACCTCATGATTCATTAATCCACTACTATTGTAATCTTAAGTTGCACATCAACATTGATTTTGGTCCTTCAACAGAAAGTTTGGTCAGTTATTTCTACTAATCAATTTTTGTCTTTAACATTTTATTCTAGTTGCTTAAATCGTCAGAGAGATGGAATACATTTAGTAAATGTAATTGCAGTTATGAAATAATTCATTAACTACAAAAACTGTAAATTGTTACAAACTAAAACTCATTCTCTATCGTGGAGTAAGTGTATTGTGGTGCAAAGGCAATTGTTATAACTTTCTAAAGACTACAAAATTCATAGTACCCTTCCAGTTGGTATTCATACCATTTGACTATGTATAAAAGCCTATTATGTCTTGGCTTGTGAGGCTAGTCAACTAGTTGGGAAGTTAACGAATACCATAAACAGTTGTATGTTTATTTAAATTATTTGATAACTATATCTTTAAGTATGGTAGAATGTAGATAAACCGACATATTTACATGCAACTTATTTTATGCAACTCATAGGCTGTCTAATAACGTTCGTATTATCATTGATCGACTACTTCTAGCCCTTCGAGTAGTTCATAATTATTCTATGTACGTAGTTAATGTGTCGTAGTTGAAAAAGCCAAAATCAACTTAGAACCTCTCACAGAAGTACATCGGTTCAAGTTGCCACATTTCACAGTAGCATGAGAAGAACAAGGGGAATTGAAATGATGAGTTGAACAAAGATGTATAGGAGGAGATGAAATTTGAAAATGAAGGTTATTGCAAATATTCATGCTTTAGGAGATGTCAAAAAGTGAATACATCTTAACCAGTGTGACCGATTTTCAGCCATGTCTCGAAGACCCCTTAACCACTGATTCCTATTACCTCGAATACCCCAAGCAAGCAGTCTACACCTCACACGGCTCACACCAATGGTCAGAGATGTCAGTAGACTGGTACCATGCATTGATCTGACCACCTTGAACCTTATTCCAACCTACTCCAACTCGTGCTAACATTGGACGTCTAGATAGGCGGTGACCTGGGATGCAGAACGCATATCGAAGTCACCTCAGTTGCTGAAGGCTTGCGATCACATCGACTGAGTTGTCTTTCTTGTCTGTTACCCTTCTCCTGACCTCGATAATGCTAACACCGTGGTTCTCAGATGCCTGAGTAATGCTATGAAGAAACGTATGGTCAAAAATCTGTAATGTCTTCATGTCTTTTACTTTCAACGACCGTGTCTCACAGGCGTGTCTCACAGGACAGAACGGACTGCATCGCAGTAAACTCATTCCTGAGTAGATAGACGTATTTCTCTCCAGTCGGTGCCAGAAATGACGTGAGTTGGTAAGTGCTAAATGGGCCTACTGTATCCGAGCTGAGATTCCATGAGCAACCAACTGTTTTGGGAACTCTCCAAGTAGGTGAAGTGGTCGACACATTCAACCACTTCACTCCTTATCCTCCAACTAGGAGTCGTTGTAGAGCAGTCTCGAAGCGTCATTTTACATTTGACAGGTGCGAGACGCTTGTCAAGCATACTCAGATTTCTGTTTAAGGCATACAGGAGAACCTGCATTTTGTCAACATCTTCACCTAATAGAAGAATATCATTGACATACTCCACTCTCTGTAAGGTCAGACATACCTAGTGTTACATCCATTAGCACCTCTATAACGAAGTTAATTCAGAACGGTTGGGGAAAGTCTAAGAAGCCTAATATTAGTGTCAGTAGGTGAAGTAAGAGGAGGAGATGGAATTGAAGAAGATAGATTATGTTTGATTGAGTCTTGTATACTACTGGAAGCGTGTAAATGGTTGACACTTCCCGGTTACCCATACATACATACAGGAGAACCTGCATTTTGTCAGCATCTTCACCTAATAGAAGAATATCGTCTGCGCACTACAGGTCAACCAGATGCCACCCAGGAAGTGTAACAGGAATTAACAAACAACCTATTCGACCATTCTCGTTTGGTGTTAATTCAGCCTAAGGTGATTTCTATTGGATGCAGAGCTTCATGTGGACAAAAAAACCAGTATTTTATGTAGGTGTTTTTTGTTAAACCGATTAGTGAGGCTACATTTCTAACAATAACCACTGATACTTGTTTCCATTTAAATCTTGGCTTTCCAAGTGTTCGTTTATGGCTGTTGTTGAACTGAAATGCTCAAATTGTCTGATTATTCTGTTTTTCTTTGCAAGTGGTGATCGCTTGCTTACCAGAGATCTTATAAACACAAGTTTTATTGTATGCTGATATCGTATATTTGTTCAATCCTCCGAATATATATATATATATATATATATATATATATATATATATATATATATATATATATATATATACGCTGATACCATCAGTTTAATGAAGATGAAAGCTTCACGATCAAATAACTCAGCTCATGGATTTTTGTTGCTTAACTTATCATGAGTATGAGCTGTATTTAGTGACTTTGTTTTATAGTATTCCTTATTTTAAGCGTTAGTAACGGTTTACTGTATCCTGGAATATTCACCCATATAGAGTTGTCATACTTCGAAGTAGTTTTAAAATAAATGATCTCCAATGGCTCTTATTTGCAGTCAGTGAACAATCTAGTTCAAGAAAGTGATGAGCAAAATATTACGTGGGTATACTGTTAAATTATACTCGATGCACAAGGTGTCTATCGTAACTCACATAATTCTTTGGATTTTGAAGTGGTTGACGTCAGTTTCTCATTTCACTATTAGTTTCAGGATTCACTAGAAGATAGGGACATGTGTCTGACTAGTTCAAAATATGATGAAACCTTCGTCATGAATTCCACTGTCGACCGATATTCATTATCATTATTATCTTATGATCAATATAGTTGTTTCATCTCGCGGTAAAGACCCTATAAAAAGGTAATCAGTAAACCAACAAATTGTGATAATTTAAACTAACTGTAACTAGGAAAAAAAAATACTTAAACTGTTAGTTTTTTAAAAGACAAAATTAAGCTTGAATTATTGATTGGATTTTTTGCTCTTTTTCTTTTAGAGAAGGATTCAGACAGTTCGTCAAGATACCTTTGAACGTCAAATTGATTTTTTTGTTCAAGCATCTAATATGTTGAAGGCTCGTTCATCGAATGAATTTGTTTGTAATCTACAGTTTACACGACTTAATCAACTTGAAGATTTCTGGGCTGATTATCAGTCAGGAGCCTTAAGATCTGTGAGTTTAGTAGTTTATTAATTTATTTTTTGAATATAGTTTTCATCTTGAGCTTAAGTATGTTAGATGCATATTTAGGATTTCACAATTTTGTATATAGCATTGAGCTGTTCAACAGTGAAAAGATATTAGGCTTCCTGATAAGATTAACTATAGAGTTGTTTATGTCATCAAGAATATATTAAACTGTCACTTTACAGTTTGATGATGAGTATTTTTCAATTTGATCAACTTGTGATATAATGCGTCTTCAGTTTTGTCGCTTGACTACTGATCAAAACTTTCTATTTAGCTGATCTAACGAAAGCTGTAGCTTAGTAACAAACATTCAACATTTAGTCATTGGATTACAGGTTTATACTTCACTCTAGCTACAATATTTTGAGAAGCTGAAAAGTGTTGTTAAACATCAATTAGAAATCTTACACCGCAATCTATTGCACAAACATGGAATATGTTGCGCATTTAAATTGCTTTACTACCACCTAATATACTCATTATCAAAGGTCTCTCTGTCAAATAATCAGGTTGTAAAAACTGGAATCTTTCTTTATTCATATTCGTTCTATGAATTGAAGAAAGAGAAAGAAAGAGAGAGAAAAAGTGGTGCACAAAAATACTTGAATGCTCAGTTTTCAGGTAAATTAGGGAAGATTGTTTCATCAGGTATTGACCTGAGGCTCTTTCTAAGTTTTATTTCGACACATTCACCTCTTTTCTTAATGATATCAAAGTAGTTGTCGAATTTCTGTCTTCCTTCTTCTGATAATTCGAATTTGACTATCTATCCAAGCGGCTGAAGCGTGTTAAGAAGAATACACCGACGAACCAGATAACAAAACGCCTAATGGACTGTGGATATATTAATACCTGTAAGTCCCTTACGATTATCACTAGACAGCGAACTGTAGAATTGCTTGCAATTGCAGAAGCCTGTGGGATTCAAGTTGTCGAACCAAACCTCTACTTTCAGAAGGAAATAGTAGTCAGCTTGAATTTGCCATGGTAGAAATTACAACGTTGTCTAATCAGATCCCATCTTTCATACTTGCTCTTTGCCCTCAGTTATCACCTTTATCTCATATTTTTTCTTTTCTTTTCTTGGTTTCTTTTACCTAACTAACCCTACTCTTATTACCATTGTTATGATTACTATTCATCTCAATAAACACCTGGTTTCCTAATTGTCCGCTTAAGTACTATTAAGTGTCTTGTTTTGAATGACGTAGTCTACCCTCAGTCGATTCAGTTCTCGCACCTGTGTCAATATTATTATTATTATTATTATTATTATTATAGTCACTTTTCTACCTGAAATCCACATGACTCTTTAGACTGCACTATTATCTAAACTCATTGTTAATTATGTAACCTATCCCTAACCCATTCAAATTTTGAACGTCCACTTCTAATCTTTGTTTTATCACTCGACCTTTAAAATCTGTTCATTGCAAGTATCGTCAAATAAAAGCACCCGTTATAGAAGAGGTGGCTATCGTACCTCAGTGGCCTAACGGATAACGATTTGGCGTTTGAAGCAATGGGTACGAAGTTCGAGTGTTAGTGGGAGCAACACTCACTGAGGTGCATTTACCTCCAGCTGACGAGTCCCGAATAGGGCGAAACGCCCATCATGGATTCCACTGCTAATCACAACCAAATCATGTACATTTCTATGTTTTTACACCCAAGTCGAAGTTTCATTCTGTTACATGTGTATATATGTATGTTCTTTTTTTGTATTATCTAATGGTGTAAATAATCAAGTATGTAGAGTATTCAGGTGACGAGTACTACTGAAATATAAGAATTCATTAAATTGTGCTTTTTTCACATTTATTGCTTGTTTTAAATTTAAATAAAGCTAGGAATTTCTATGATGTTATATGTTAAACTCTAACAGTTGGAAATAGACAGCATCGATATGATTCAGATTATGCAGCTTTGAAGTACATGTATTCGAAAATGCATGATTCAATTGACTTTGATCTTTGACCGTAACTTCCTCAGGAACTTCATATTATCATTTGAATTATATATTTACGAGTGTACAATTTTGTAAAGGAGTCATCTAGAAAATTATTATCTTCATTATAACTACCTTTATATTGTTTTCTATGACTAATTTGTAATAAATCACAGGGCCAGAGATTATAGTGTCCTTTAAAAGTCCATAGTTATTTAATACAGGTTTTTATCACCTTCTATTACCTAGATCCTCAATTCTTATATCAAATGACTTTTTAACTAGATGTTAGTAGTAATACCGTCAAAATATCTTCTACATAGATATGTGACGTATTATTTTGTTTTTCTGTTCTCTAAAATATGGTATACTTATGTTATGATTAGACCACTAGTTAATAAGTTAATAGACAATGGCGACAACAAGTTACAGTAGTGAGTGACTTCAAATTTAAGTTGCTTAGTTTGTATTTCTTGTCAACTTTTCTATTTCTATCATTTATCTGAACGTTTGAACGGCTTTCACTTCCAGTGAGTTATATCCATTTATCTTACAATATAACTCATCAGTCAAGGATGGCGCGTATTAAAGTAATGCGATACATTAGACTACAATTTATTCTTCGAATTAGGTATTACGTAATTCTCTTTTTTTCTGTTTTATTATGCTTTCTAATGTTTTCATTTTTTTTTGTTTCCGAATTAAGTATCTCATGTTAACACTTAAAAGTCAACCAAATAAATGCTTTTTTGGTGAACCACCACAACTTGTACCTAATCAATCAGTTTCCTCGTCATCAGTAAGTGAACAACATAACATTGTTGATATAGTTGAAGAAAATCATTCCGCAAATGTTGTTGTAAATGCTTCTCAAAACTTAGTTGGAAATAACTCTAATGTTATGGCTAATGGTGTTGGATTAGTGAATGCATCCTTCATAGATCCACCAGAGTATAGTCATCAAAATCCTGTTCATTCAGCTACTTCATCATCTTTGAATATGGCAAAAGATGAAGATTCACTTAATATGTTAGCATCTTCTATTGAAACACTACATCGTACATTTCAACGTATGACACGTCGGGAACTGGTAACCACATTGTCATTATCTTCAGATCAATTGGATGAATTTACCAAATTTGAATTAAATTTATTTGTTTCACGTAGAGAATATGAAAATGGACGATGTTTACTAATGCGTAATTTACGCGCTATACCAAGTCTATGCCAATTAGCTTCAGTTTCATCACTTATTCCTTCAGTGGATAGTATCTCTACAAGATTATAAGAAAAATTCAAAAATAATGCTGAAGAAAGTATCATAATTTTGTCTTTTTTTGTCATTGACTTAGAGTTGTCTAATATTTTTGCTTGGTGATAAATTACTGATAAAAATTTGTCAATTTTTCTTCCTTTGCTTAAGTGATACTTATGTTGTACATTCAACCGTTTTTGTTTTACTTTGTGTTTTCTTTTGTAACGAAATATGCTTGATTGGGATCATTTATGTTTAGTAACTTTCTGCTTAGGCTGAACAGTTATAAATCTATGCACGTGATCAGAAAATTCCCAGTACAAGGCATAAATAAATGATCGTTCAGAAAGTTAATATTGTAGGCGGATAAAATCGTGTTTGAAAAAAAGAGCGATAATAGCCAGTTTAGCGGTCATTGCAGTCGATTTAAATACACAATGGTCTGGTTAGACATATGTTAATCAGTTTCATCGTCACTAAGTTAAATCTGTTTATCTGAGATATTAGTATTATAATGAAAAATGAATAAAAGACGATTCAGCTAAGAAAATTTTATTTCTTAACGAATCATCGTAATCATAATTACAACAAAATATATTTACCCATCAATGGTTAATGGGTCAATACAATGTCATCATAAAATTATATGAAGCCTAATGATTTCAAATAAGAAGCTCGTACAGTTCCAAAGAAGATACTGTTTATGAATATTGAATTCAGAGGAGAGACATTAGCAGAGATACTGAAGAATTGACTGTGCAAAGCACTGAGGAGTACCTTATTTTCTGCTCAGCTTCTGATTCTAGGGTGTGTAAAGAATAAATTACCCCTCTGGGTCACCTCAATGTACGTTTATCAATTCAACTGTTCTTGTTGAGCTGGTTAAATAGGCCAAACAAAGCGTGTTCTATCCGAACGCATCTCCGAACTCTACTTTGTATGGCTGTCTAAAGTACAGTGTAAAGCTGTTAACAACTCGATTCTTGGTTATCCCTGCTCACTGTGCTTCATGAGAATCTTTCAAAGTCATTTATAAAGAGAAGGCAAACATTTTAAGCGACTGCGTATCCACCACCTCAACACAGCAGAAGCTCTGGCAATCCAGTATTCTAAGCCTACTCTTTGTGTTCAAAAAAGATACATTCAATCTCTAATTTTGCCTTGGTTGTATTCTTCCTAAGACATTCATTTATATGTTTATTTACCATGATCCTATAAGCAATTTTTGATGACCTTGATTTGATTTTACCGTTATCACCTCTTGACTTTATTTGTCGTTTTTCACCCATTGGCTATTGACATATATACATTTTCTTATAACTATGATTACCATGTACAGTTTTTGAAAGTGATTTGTTGAAAGGAAAATTTTCTTCGCTGAATTGTATTTTAGTAATAATAGTATATATCACTAGCCTTATCCCTTCTAAACTTCCTCATATACATATAGGTTGATTCTATAACTACACTGTTGAACTAGATTTCTGTTGTATTGCGTAGATGTGAAGTTTTAGGAATGAATATTTCCTTCGCTCGGAAGGCATTTCTTTATATCTATCATTTCAGTAAAATGGATGTCTACCAATGATATGCTATTTTCCTATTCTTGCAGACAAATTCACCGATAAGATAAACGTTATCGAGGGTTCTCAGTATCTATTGTGTGTTAATTTTCTGCTTGACAGATGATGAAAGTATCATCTACATATTGGTGTTTCAGCCTATTTTATGTGTCCTGTAATGGATCATTTTCCGAATTTGCCAAAAAGATATCAGCTAGCACAGGACTAAGAGACAGGTCATGGCAATCTCATCTACTTTTTGATAAAATTTGTTATTGAACGCAAAGCTGGCTTTTATCATACACTTCAGCAGTAGTTTGCAGTGATTATACCAGGCATTTTACTGCTAAATAACAGTGACATATTTATTATTATTATTATTTATTTGTCCCTTGGCTTCCTAATGGAACATACGGCTTCAGTAACACGTCTCCAGTGCACTCTCTTCTCTGAAATCTTTTGAACCTGGCTCCATGACAGCCCACAAGCTCTCATTTCTTCCTCACAACATCTCCTCCATGTCACTCTCACCTCGACCCCCTACTCGTCACTTCCCATCAGGGTTCCACTCGAGCATCTGGCCTGATGCGTGGTGTCCCCAATCAGCCTTCTCAGTGTATGCCCAATCCAATCCATCTCCACTTCCCCATTCTGCATATTTGTTCAGCGATAATTTCTTGGTTGGTTCATTGACAGGCAAGAGTTCCTTGTTGCTCATTCTTATTATTCCGACCATCTGATCTTCAGTTGCGAGTGAGCGTAGGCAGTTGTTGATGAATATCTGTAGTTTGTTGGAAATCACTTTCGTAACCCACCAACTCTCTGAACCATAAAGAAGCACTGACTTGACTGAATTAGTGTAGAAAATCTGGATCTTGTTCATGCGTGATGCTGAGTGCAGAAGATTTCCACACTGGTTTCAGGTTAATCAACACTTGTCTTGCTGTCTCTCCGATCCTGACTGGCTTTGACCTCCTCATCTGTGCCGCCGCCTGTAGTTATTATTGTTGGGTGGTTATAGACCATCTACAGAAAACCTCAGACTTGAAATTTGTACCGGTTGGCACTTATCATGGCGAGCACGTCATCATCCAGCCACTGGTTGGCATCAAAAGGTCCACATTTTCCTACTTTTGTCAATCCGCGATATAGCACGAAAATCATTCAATACTATCAGCAAACTTAGTAGAGTCTACAGGTTACTATCTCATTGGAACATGGGGAAATTTATCTCGAAACAAGTCTACCTTTCCATATATCTGCAGCAGCTTGTTACTGGATATTTCATTTTTCTCCTTCTGCTCAAAAACCTATTTTACTACCATCCATTAGTTTTCCTTTTGGTTTAAGTCTTTCCGGTGCATAATACTGATGTGAAACAGTCTTTGTGCAAGTCACGTCCTTTTTAAAATTCATCTGTCTGAATGTGACTTTAGAATTATCGGTTGGAATTCACTTGTCAAAACAATTTTTCCTTTAGCTACTTAGCGATAAAGTTAAGTCAACTATCAGTATTCTGAAGCAATTTTTTTGACTGAAATTAGCAGTTCGATAGACTAGCAATAAGTTAAAATACTTATTATCATTGCTTCTCAAGCTTCATATTAACATCTAGATAATTCAGTACTACTTTACGAATGAGGTAATATAAAGATACTATGCGGCTGGCTGCATAAATAGACTAACCGAATAATAATTGCTCCAAAAACAGAATATTTTATAATAATACTGTAAAAAAATCTCTTTTTCATGTTGAGAAAAGTTAATTCTGTGGAGAGAATTCTTTTTCTTCCGATGAATCATTTTCAGAATCTACATAATCCTACTCATCGTTACGCCAAAATATATGTCCATCAGTGGTTAATAGGTCAGTACAAAGTCATCAAAAATTGTCAGTAGAGCCATAAGGTTGTTATGACTAACAGGTCAGCATACGGCCATCAAAACTGTTTATAAGATTACATGGTAATGGCTGAAAGATGAACATAAGACGATTGCTCAATAATGTATGAAGTATGGTTATAGTGAAGTTGGAGATTACAGAGAAAGGAAAGGGTATGAAAATAATAATACTGACAAATGAAATACATCAGAAAATAAATGCATCCTAGGGAGATTTTGACAAAGGTAAAACTAGAGATTAGACGCATTTCTTTTGAACATAGGAATAAGGCTTGAACTGATGAGTTGCCAGACTTCTTCTGTGTTCAGACGGTCAGTCCGCACTCCCTTAAAAATGTCTGATTTGGCTTTATAAATGATTTTCAAGGAAGATTCTTGTGGAGCAGACAGACCAGAGTTAAGCAGATGCTGAAGAATTGAACCGTTGATCGCTTTACATCTTCCTCCAGACAAAATTACCAGATAGTGCATGACGATGTGCTTGAGTAGAACTCATTTTTCACTGCCTATGAAATCAGATTTACAACAGCACATGGGTTTGTAGGCACACGTGATGGTGGTTCAAAGCGCTAATTTGTCCTTTATACACTTTCAAATCATTTGTTGACTGGAGAAAATCCGAAGTTAGGCGGGAAAGGTCTTCCTCAGTCCTTTACACAACCAATTCTAGACTATTTCTGCTACTGTATCTCCCTAAAATTTGATTGTTAATCCTTTTATTACTTGTTCTCATTTACACTATGGAATGTTTCCCTTCTTTATCTTCAGTTTTATACTACTTGGTATTTTCGAATAGCATAGTTCATGTTTCCTTTTGATATTGCTTCTCCCACAGACTCGACCGTCCATTCTGTTCCATTGTATCTTGTCCACCACTTAACATCCATAGATATTATTATCTTTCATAGTTCATGATGTTCTTGTAATTCCCTTCTTTGTTCCCAGATGTTATACTTTACGTTGAACATTTGCTTATCTTGCGTCTTACCTCATCTTGAGTATTAAAGCGCGTCTTTTATATTCCCTTCTGGTTGCTTGGATACATCCCTACTGTTTTTACTGTAGACTCACTCTTTTCGAGTATTTTGAAGGCGATTAGCCCGTAGATGCATAATGATTCTAGGTTTGTATTTTGTTACTTAATATTGTTTATGAATACAGAACCGTATTTCAGACAAATTCTATGTTTCGGATTTTACGCGTAACTCGAACGTTGGGTGAGAACATGCTTGTTCGCTTCGGTTCTGAATTTCTTTCCGAGAAATTCAGACTAATATTTGTAAGTAGCATCGTCCATTGTCGGGATCCATTTTTGGTAATGTTTAGGCTTCACGTCCCTCTCGATGAACATTGAAGGATAATCATTCTCTATGAGCACTCTAAAACCTCGCCTGGTTAATCAGTTCACTAGTTACTAGCCAGTCCTAAGCCCGGATAAACAGGGAAGGTTGGACATAGAGCTAGCAACCCTACCCCGGAAAACCAATCCAACAGCTAAAGAAACTTCAAAGCACAAAGAAATTATAAAAATAAAAACAAACTTATTCCTCGCCGGAATTGAAGGGATGAAATGACGCCAGTTGGTGAAAGCATTCGGGAAGCCAATTGGATGATGAGTCTCCTCTCACTTGAAGAAAACGAAAATAAGAATGGGAACATGGAATATCCACACCATGTATGAACCTAGCGAGGCTTCCCAGATTGCAAAAGAGATGAGAAGGTATAGGATAGATGTGCTAGGAATGTGGAGATGGAATGGAAGTGTACTCTCCAAACTGTCAACTGGAGAGTCAATAATCTACTCTGATGTTGTCACCCAGACGACAACCACGAACGAGCACACTGAGTTTTGTACTGGCTATCATGATGTCCCCAACAGTATCGAGGGCTCTCATACAGTGGGAACCAATCGCCTCCTGCAGGATCATGACAACAAGATTCAACTCAAAAGGAAAGAAACTCACAACCACTTAATACTCTGCTCCAACAAATAATGCAGATGAAGAGAAGAAGGAGGAATTCTATAGACAACTGCAATCAGCACTCGGCAAGACCCCAACCCACTTGGTGACATCAAACTTCTGATGGGTGGGGTGACATGAATGCCAAACTGGGAGTGGACAACACAGGAAGAGAAGTAACCATGGGCGGAGAAGCACTCAGTGAAATGATGAGTGAGAATGGAGAACTGTTTGCAGATTTCTGTGCATCCAACGATTTGGTGATTGGAGTCAGTCAGTGTGTACAAACACAAGGATATTCACAAAGCGAGAAACATGGATTTCACCATTCACCAGATGGGCACACTACACTAAAAATCAGATCGACTTCATCTGAATGTGAAGAAAGTGGAGACGCAGTCTACTGGACACATGATCAGATCAAGAAGGGAAGCAGATGTAGGTTCACACCACTGACTGTCTAGTGCAAGGAACCTACATTCAAAATCAAGTTGAATGCCTTCAAAGGCGTTGGTGATGATAGACCATAGTTGAAGTTGAACACCCAGAACAGGAATTGAAGGACGAAACTGCAAAGGACATCTTCACGTCAACCATCAGGACAAAATGGGAGACATTAGGGAACATCCCTGAGGAAACGTGAGTAGAAGGCACTAGAACTCTTTGAAAGAGATGTAGAAATAAACCTACATAACCGTATTAGGAAGGAAGAAGAAAGAAGAAGCAGGACAAGGAATGGATCTGAACAGACACATGGAAGCTGATAGAGTAGGGAGAGGAGGATGGTGAAGCAGAAGATGAACCAGTGCAAGGATGAAGAGCGAGAATAAGAACTGACTACAATGTATAAAACACTGAACAAAGAAGTGAAGAAGAGTGCGCGGAAAGACGAAAGCCACTTCCATGACACATTGGCATGTGAAGCAGGACAGGCTGTGGGCTGGTAGGAGAGACCTGACAACATTATATCAGATAACCAGGTTACTATCTCGGACCGAAGAGATCAACTCAGATGGAACCAATAAAAGATGATGAA